TTCTCGACATTCATCTCCTACAAACCCAGGACAGCACCTCCACTCCAGAGCAGTGACCTGCCGATACGCCACCTTGTAAGACGGCCTGACCATGGTCCTATAGCTGACAGAGCACAGGGTCAACACAGGAACATCATCATCATCACTAGTACTGCTATATACACTATAAGACAGCATTTATATCAAAACAGGACTCTGGGGTGGTCTGGTCCAGTCCTACCTGATGAGTTTGGAGCAGGGTCCTGGCCAGCGGCAGCCCTGGAAAACTCTCTGGACTGTGGTCTCTGTCCCATTGCGCACCTGGCATGTCACCGTCCTCGACACTGTGAACTGGCACCAGTTCCTGTAATCACAGACAGACCATATGGATCTTGTTATCTTAACATCTAATACAGGTCACATTGACTACTACCCTTTTAGTAAGGTTCTCAAACACTCCAAAACCTTCTCCCTCATTCCAATAATCTATCTCTTTACCAACTGTAGGAGATGTCAATCATACAGTAATAGAAAGCATCACCTCTTGCCCCTTTCCCCATAGGGCGGATCATCAATAGTCAAACATTTGACATTACCCTTCATATGGTGACATTGTAAATAAATGATGTTATTTGGCAAACCCTGACCATCCCCGCTATAGATCCTCTCTGTCCGTAATGACGCACTCACCTGAGCTGGGTGTTTGATCCGCTGCCTGGTGAACCGGTGCTCACGCTCTGCTCAGAGTTGACACGTTGTACAGTCACGCCGGGAAACTGGTAAATAAATCCCGTTCCCATCGAATGACAGATCAGACATATCCATGTTATGCACAAAGTGGACGAGAGCGATGCCATTGCCAATGCCATCTCCACAGAGTTCCAAAGTGCTACTTGTTGTAGGGCTTTCGTTGAGTTTTGAAAACGTGCGTTTGAAACCCTTCTTTGCCAGATGGGGGGAGATTGCTTTCCAAAAAATCACTGTACAGTAAGCGCTCATGGGTTCCTCAGGGTGCAGAGTGACTACAAGACAGAGTGCTTTAACCCAAAAACTCAAGTCAAATGAATCACACCATGCCCATGGAATAATCTGCGTTTTAAACAATACTCTGACGTTTGACCCCCTGCGAGGATGAAGGAGTCAGATATCCACTTTAATTAGCTTCCCACCGTGCGCGTAAAAAGCGCGCAGAAGTTTATGAGGTAGAAAAGCACAACTGAGCACCGTCTATCTCTCTCTGTCTCAAAGCCGCTGCTTCTCATGTTTAGGTTAAATCGCAAGGAATTTAAAAACCATTTCACTTAATCCCATGATTATAAGGACATGCAGAACCTGTCACATCCACAACGGCAAAAATTTTTTATAGTTCTATGTGCTCTTTTCTAGCCTAAATTGCCAGAACATTTTCATCATATATATTTGGTAGCAAAAACTCTTAAATTTTTTATAAAACAGAAACAATTAAAATTGTTAGGCCTATGTATGAATATCTAGCTTAATAAAAACATGCCTGCCGGTACAATTTTTTTTTACAATATCAATGCGTTTAATCTGAATTTATTCCAATGAATTTTGGAATTAATGTCGGCCTAAGCATTTTGGACGTATCTTTGCTAATATGTTCATGGTACATGTGTAAAAGTTTTGCTTCCGTCCCTCTCCTCGCCCCAACCTGGGCTTGAACCAGGGACCCTCTGCACATATCGACAACAGTCACCCTCGAAGCACCGTTACCCATCGCTCCACAAAAGAAGAAAGTCAACCGAAGTTTGTGATTCCGGGATTCATATAGAGTGGAGCGGTCAGGTGGGGGTTGTGCTATGGCTTACACAGTATTGGAGAGACAGGAAATGGAATGTGTGGGAATATAAATATGTAGGAATAGGGGTAACATTGTAATATTTAACTTCTATAACCCCTACAAACCGCTCATGTTAGCACAGTTAGAAGGGGTTGATAGGACGTGTAGGTGTAGGAAAGTAATATGGTGTGGTGATTTTAATGCCCATAATGAACTCTGGGGAAGTACGCATAAAGATAAATGGGAGTATAGTTGAAGAATTGATGGATAACGGGATTAGTGTTAACGATGGGAGGGGTACAGAGTCAATGTGTTGAGGAGTACAGAGTCAATGTGTTGAGGAGTACAGAGTCAAAAAAACACGGGTCTGTGTGATGAGCGTTTAGTGGAGGAAACGGTAGAGCATGTGTTGATATTTTGTGAACTGTATGAGGTAGATAGGGAGAGATTGTGTGAAAGGGTTAGAGATGCTGGAGTGGGTTGGGGTTTGGGTGGTGCAGTGGGGGGAGGAAAGTGGTGTCTAGGGCTCTATTTCACGTTCTTAGAGGAACAGGACTAATGAAGAAAATGTAACGTAGGTAGGATGTGACTGGCCTCACACTCCAGTACAGCAGGTGGCAGTGTACGCACCTTAGAAGATGCAATCCGCCAACCTAATCCCGAAGAAGAAGAAGACTGAGAAGAAAGTACACGTATCCTCAGTGAAGTGACAGCTCAGATATAGCTACAGAGGCTGGCATCAGTATGGAGGAGAAAATAGACGTGGAAGCGGGAGAAAATCCCTTTCAACCTTATTTAGACTCTTTACGGAAAGTGTTGGAAGACCAAGACCCCATATTTATTGTCGGAATTATTGTTTCTTTGGCTGTTGTTGTCATCACTTTTGGTAAGTTTAACAAGCTAAACTCATTCCAGCTCACGTTAACTCAGTGTTCCCCAACTCCAGTCCTTGAGTAACCCCAACAGCACACCATTTTGTTCTAGCCCCGGACAAACATACCTCATTCAACTCATCGAGGGCCTGATGATTAGTTGACAAGTTCAATCAGGTGTCTTTGTCCGGGGCTACAATACAAATGTGTACTGTTGGAGGTACTCGAGGACCGGAGTTGGGAACCACTCCCGTTAGCTAGCGACTCCCTAGCGAGGCCTCACATCCTCGGGAACAAATTGAGTGTAAATCCGTTTTTGAGGTGTCGGCCTGCTGGCTTCAGCCTGCTGGCTTTCTATGCTGTGAGATTTTCAAACAAGCTTTTCGTCTTTTTATCAAGCCTGCTATCAAAGGTTCGGGTAGTTAGCTTGCCAGTTACCAACTGTGGTCACTAGTGATCTATCTAGTTACTGTACTAGTTACGCTGTTTGTCAGGTGCTCGTCTGCTATGTTGGCAGCTTTGTATGGTAGCTAAAACCAAACCGTCTTATGATTGGTTTACATTTCAGTGTTGTTGAAGTACTTCATAAGCAGCAAAACTGTCCAAAGTGCTGTGCTGCTGGTTGGTCTCAGCGATTCTGGAAAGACCCTTCTCTTTAGTCGAGTGAGTACAGTGCAACATATGGCATGTCCATTCCAACTATTTGCATACGTTTACAGATGGCAGAAGTTGTGACACTGATGGATGTTCATTGTTGCATGTAAATGTTTGCAGTTGTTGTCAGGAAAGTTCAAGAAGACCCAGACCTCGATCACAGACAGCAGTGCCCCCTACAAAGCCAAGAACGAGAGGGTGAGGAAACTACTGTGGTGAGGGAGTGGGTTGAAGGATCAGGAATGGATCTGGAACTGTAGATTTTTGTAAATATTTTTTTTCTTCATTATATGACAAATGCATTTGTCAAATGTGTCACACACTGGCTTGACTGTCCCCATGTCCACCCTCGCTGTGTGCAGGGCAGCAGCTGGACCCTGGTTGACCTGCCTGGACATGACAGTCTCCGGCCTCAGTATGTGGAGAAGTTCAAGTCAGCCGCCAGGTGAGTAAAGATGGAAGGCGTTTGTGTTCAGGGGAGGTCTATAACTTATGTAAGACATGCCACCAGAGGTCTCTTCACAATCCCCAAATCCAGAACAGACCATGGGAGGCGCACAGTACTACATAGAGCCATGACTACATGGAACTCTATTCCACATCAAGTAACTCATGCATGCAGTAAAACCTGATTTTAAAAATACACCTTATGGAACAGCGGGGACTGTGAAGAGACACACTGTACACATAACATATGCAATACACACACGTACTCATGGATTTTGTGTTGTAGAGTAGGGGTCTGAGGGCACACACTTAATGTGTTGTGAAATGTATTGTAATGTTTTTTAAATTTGTATATAACTGCCTTTATTTTGCTGGACCCCAGGAAGAGTGGCTGCTGCCTTGGCAGGAACTAATGGGGATCCATAATAAACACAAATAATATGGTGCTTGTATTTCAGGTCTAAGGTGTTCAGGGGAGGTCTATAATATGGTGCTTGTATTTCAGGTTTTCAGGGGAGGTCTATAATATCACTTTTGTTCTCTCCTCTGTCTCTGACTGCAGAGCCATGGTGTTTGTGGTGGACAGTGCCATCTTCCAGAAGGAAGTGAGAGACGTGGCTGAGTTCCTGTACTTCCTGTTGACTGACAGTGCTGTGTACAGGAATGTCCCCTCTCTTATAGTGGCCTGCAACAAGCAAGGTGACACATCACACTGTTCAACCATCTCCCTCCCTCTACAAAAACCTCCCCAGGATGACGCTATGTGTTTATGATTTACTGATTTTGAAAGTAGTGTTACTTAATATATTTTCCGTCTCTAGATATCACCATGGCAAAATCTGCTAAACTGATTCGGCAGCAGCTGGAGAAAGAGATGTAGGTAATCCTCCTGTTACCAACATCAACACTAGGGCCGGGATGATACCAGTAGAGAAAGATATGTAGATAATCCTCCTGTTACCAACATCAACACTAGGGCTGGGATGATACCAGTAGAGAAAGAGATGTAGGTAATCCTCCTGTTACCAACATCAACACTAGGGCTGGGATGATACCAGTAGAGAAAGAGATGTAGATAATCCTCCTGTTACCAACATCAACACTAGGGCCGGGATGATACCAGTTGAGAAAGAGATGTAGATAATCCTCCTGTTACCAACATCAACACTAGGGCCGGGATGATACCAGTCTCACAACACTCGTTAGTACCATGGCAACGAAACAAAACACGAAGCAGATTTAACTTCTTTAGGAAAACCGCACACAATATTTTACATACAGCAGGATTTTAAGGACCGACTCATTTGGTGTGTTTTCATTTTTGCCATGGAAAAAGTATTTTCTTACTGAGAAAGTCACAGCCATAATGTAAATGGAAGTGTGATTCTACAGAATGAATTGATCCCAACCTGTCCCGTTTCCCCTCAGGAACACTCTGAGAGTGACACGGTCTGCTGCTCTGAGCGCCCAGGACGGGTCTGCGGGGGCCAGCGTGCACCTGGGGAAGAAGGGCAAGGACTTTGAGTTCAGCCAGCTGCCCATGAAGGTGGAGTTCCTGGAGTGCAGCGCCCGCGGCAGCAAGGGGGAGGACGGGGAGGCAGACATCGCCAGCCTTGAGAAGAGCCTGGCCAAGCTGTGAGACGGCTGGGTCTCGTCACTATCTCCCATTTAGCGCACTACTTTGGCCAAGAGCCCTTGCGTGGGTGCACTATGGGGAATAGGCCAAGGACTCTAAGCATATCAGGTGTCTCAGTCGGTCTTCAGGACTCGACTCAACACCACAACACTATGGAAGTGAATAACGTCTTGTGCTGACATCACCAGGTCAGCAGTGGCACCTGATGTAGTGAATGCCAATTTGCAGAAAGGTCTAATTTCAACATGCTTTGCTCGTCTCTAGCAGGTGTTACTTTGTTTCTAGCAGATGACCCGTCCTTTTCATAGTGGATACTCTCACCCACTGCTATGAAACAATGTCAACATCTATTTGTATTATCTTTGTCTATTTGTTTTTTTTCCTCATCAGCATTTGAAACCTCCCTGTCAATCATGATATCCTGTGAAGAGATATTTACTGAACCCACCTCAGATGAGGCATCAGATTTCTCCATTAGATTACAACAGTTTGTATTGCAAAATCAGCATTGGTTCCTTTCTGGAATGGTTCAGTTATGTTTTGTCTTATTCAACTTTTTAAATAAAATCTGTTTACATATTTGGGGATATGTGGTTGGTGAGGGCAACATCGTACCCATTGTGTCACCAAAGCTGTGAAAGAAAAGCCTACTGACAAGTTTCAGTCATACACTCTGCAAAACCTTTTTAATTGGCAAAAATCAAGCCACAGTTGTTTTGACCTGTTATGACTCACTTATACATCCTCACCTAGCTGCTGACATCTTGAGTGATATTGACTCGATTGTATGAAAAATACAGTGAGATTTGAGATTCAATCCGATTTTAGGTTATGGGCATTGTGGCTTTTAAAGGCTATGTTCTGGCATTTGCGGAGATCCCGTTCACGGTAAAACGCTGCATATGTCGGCTCAATCAGAAGTTGCCTTTAAAAACCGCAATGGCTAGCAATACACTGAGTATACCAAACATTAGGAACACCTTCCTAATACCTCCCGTTTGCCCTCAGAACAGCCTCAATTCGTCGGGGTATGGACTCTACAAGGTGTCGAAAGCATTCCACAGGGATGCTGGCCCCATGTTGACTCCAATGCTTCCCACACAGTTGTGTCAAGTTGGCTGGATGTCCTTTGGGTGATGGACCATTCTTGATATAAGGAAAACTGTTGAATGAAAAACCCAACAGTGTTGTAGTTCTTGACACGAACCGGTGTACCTGGCACCTACTACCATACCCCGTTCAAAGGCACTTAAATATTTTGTCTTGCCCATTCACCCTCTGAATGGCGCACATACACAATTCATGTCTTAAGGCTTCCTTCTTTAACCTGTCTCCTCCCCTTCATCTACACTGATTTGAAGTGGATTTAACCAAGTGACATCAATAAGGGATCATAGCTTTCACCTGGTCAGTCTGTCATGGAAAGAGCAGGTGTTCCTAATGTTTTGTACACTCAGTGTATATACACTACATGACCAAAAGTATGTGGACACCTGCTCGTCAAACATCTCATTCCAAAATCATGGGTATTAATATGGAGTTGGTCCCCCCCTTTGCTGCTATAACAGCCTCCACTCTTTTGGGAAGGCTTTCCTCTAGATGTTGGAACATTGCTGTGGGGACTTGCTTCCATTCAGCAACGAGCATTAGTGAGGTTGGGCGATTAGGCCTGGCTCGCAGTCGGCGTAACCAATTCATCCCAAAGGTGTTCGATGGGTTTGAGGTCAGGGCTCTGTGCAGGCCAGTCAAGTTCTTCCACACCGATCTCGACAAACCAATTCTGTATGGACCTCGCTTTGAGCACGGGGGGCATTGTCATGCTGAAACAGAAAAGGGCCTTCCCCAAACTGTTGCCACAGTTGGCAGCACAGAATCGTCTAGAATGGCATTGAATGCTGTAGCGTTAAGATTTCCCTTCACTGGAACTAAGGGGCCTAGCCCGAACCATGAAAAACAGCCCCAGACCATTATTCATCCTCCACCAAACTTTACAGTTGGCACTATGCATTGGGTCAGGTAACGTTCTCCTGGCATCCGCCAAACCCAGATTCGTCCGTCGGACTGCCAGATGGTGAAGCCGTGATTCATCACTCCAGAGAACGCGTTTCCACTGCTCCAGAGTCCAATGGCGGCGAGCTTTACACCACTCCAGCTGACGCTTGGCATTGCGCACGGTGATCTTAGGCTTGTGTGCGGCTGCTCGGCCATGGCATCTTTAGCAGGGCAGAAATTTAACGAACTGACTTGTTGGAAAGGTGGCATCCTATGACGGTGCCACGTTGAAAGTCACTGAGCTCTTCAGTAAGGCCATTCTACTGCCAATGTTTGTCTATGGAGATTGCATGGCTTTGTGCTCGATTTTATACATCTGTCAGCAACAGGTGCGGCTGAAATAGCCAAATCCAATAATTTGAATGGATGTCCACATACTTTTGTATATATAGTGTATGTACATATATACATTCAGCAAAAACTCCACTCAGCATATTTGTAATTAGCTCCATTGTAGTAAACTGATGACAAATATCCTATCACACCAACCAATATAGTTTTACCAGCAACAAGACTAGTGTCTAATGGAGTGAGATTGTTTCCTGGATAAACTCACCCGCCATTGAATCAGATCCTTTTCAGTGGCGCATCTGGTTTGTACATTGTCAAGCGAGGGGGTCAGGTGTGTTTGCAAAGCAGAGGACCTTGGTATAAGTCAGTATTACCCAACTCTGGTCCTCCAGTACCCCCACACACGTACACATGTTTGTTGTAGCCCTGAAAAACAGACCTCATTCAGCTCATTGAGGGCTTGATGATTAGTTGACAAGAGGAATCGGGTGTGCTTGTCCAGGGTTACAATAAACATGTGTAGTGTTGTGGGTAATTGAGGACTGGAGTTGGGAAACACTGGTGTAAGTCCAATCAGAGGCAAGATAAGGGAGGAAGCTGCTAAAGCTAGCACCGTGACAACAGTAACATCTGCCTAACCCTGACATGGCAGTCTTCTCATGGGTGAGCTGATCAAACATCTGCATCCGTCTTCACCCCCCTGGTTTGTCATGGTGTTTCAGTCCTTGTAGGGGAGAACCCTGCTGATAAAGACATTGTTCAGTCCTCCTTTAGGTGGCTGCCTCTGGTTAGAGAAGGTTCTGTCAGATCAGGCAGCCAGTCCTATCAGATGGACCTGTCAGATCAGGCAGCCAGTCCTATCAGATGGACCTGTCAGATCAGGCAGCCAGTCCTATCAGATGGACCTGTCAGATCAGGCAGCCAGTCCTATCAGAAGGTTCTGTCAGATCAGGCAGCCTGTCCTATCAGATGGACCTGTCAGATCAGGCAGCCAGTCCTATTACACAGACAGGCTGATGACACTATCGCTCAGTGAGCAAAACTCAGTGGAAGGAGGGCGCCTTAAACAACTAACTAATACAAGGTAAGGCAGTCTGTATATTACTACAGCCAGAGAGCAGACAGACAGGTTAGGGCTATAGACCAGCCAGAGAGCAGACAGACAGGTTAGGGCTATAGACCAGCCAGAGAGCAGACAGACAGGTTAGGGCTATAGACCAGCCAGAGAGTAGACAGACAGGTTAGGGCTATAGACCAGCCAGAGAGCAGACAGACAGGTTAGTGCTATAGACCAGCCAGAGAGCAGACAGACAGGTTAGGGCTATAGACCAGCCAGAGAGCAGACAGACAGGTTAGGGCTATAGACCAGCCAGAGAGCAGACAGACAGGTTAGGGCTATAGACCAGCCAGAGAGCAGACAGACAGGTTAGGGCTATAGACCAGCCAGAGAGCAGACAGACAGGTTAGGGCTATAGACCAGCCAGAGAGCAGACAGACAGGTTAGGGCTATAGACCAGCCAGAGAGCAGACAGACAGGTTAGGGCTATAGACCAGCCAGAGAGTAGACAGACAGGTTAGGGCTATAGACCAGCCAGAGAGCAGACAGACAGGTTAGGGCTATAGACCAGCCAGAGAGCAGACAGACAGGTTAGGGCTATAGACCAGCCAGAGAGCAGACAGACAGGTTAGGGCTATAGACCAGCCAGAGAGCAGACAGACAGGTTAGGGCTATAGACCAGCCAGTAGACAGACAGGTTAGTGCTATAGACCAGCCAGAGAGCAGACAGACAGGTTAGGGCTATAGACCAGCCAGAGAGCAGACCGACAGGTTAGGGCTATAGACCAGCCAGTAGACAGACAGGTTAGGGCTATAGACCAGCCAGAGAGTGGACAGACAGGTTAGGGCTATAGACCAGCCAGAGAGCAGACAGACAGGTTAGGGCTATAGACCAGCCAGAGAGCAGACAGACAGGTTAGGGCTATAGACCAGCCAGAGAGCAGACAGACAGGTTAGGGCTATAGACCAGCCAGAGAGCAGACAGACAGGTTAGGGCTATAGACCAGCCAGAGAGCAGACAGACAGGTTAGGGCTATAGACCAGCCAGAGAGCAGACAGACAGGTTAGGGCTATAGACCAGCCAGAGAGCAGACAGACAGGTTAGGGCTATAGACCAGCCAGAGAGCAGACAGACAGGTTAGGGCTATAGACCAGCCAGAGAGCAGACAGACAGGTTAGGGCTATAGACCAGCCAGAGAGCAGACAGACAGGTTAAGGCTATAGACCAGCCAGAGAGTAGACAGACAGGTTAGGGCTCTGGTCAGCCACCACCAGGCTGGGCTCTCCTCTCAGCAGAGTGGGACACACCCAGTTCACCTTGTCCCCATGGCTGAAGCGGAGTTTAGGTCCTGACTTCAGGGCCTCCTCTGTGCCTGGTGACTGATCCGCACTGCTGCCGTCCTCCACCTCTTCCTCCTCCTTTGCCTGCAGGGACTTAGGCTTGGCCTGGGACTGGAGTTTGGCTTTAGCACTGGCCTTGGGTCTCCTGCGGTGGGCTGGCACTGCTTGTGGCTTGCCCTTATCCTCAACAGTAACTACTGGGTTCTGACTGAGGTCCCAGAGGGCCACCATGCCGTCATTGCCCCCAGTGGCCAGCCAGTATGGGTGGGGTAAGAAGCTGAGGAAGTGGGCCTGTGAGGCTCCCTGGCTGTGGGCCTTGATGGACCCCTGCTGGTCCAGTCTGGAGCCACTGCCGACCCGCATCAGGTGCACACGTCCGTTCTCGGCGGCGCAGGCCAAAACGTTCCCACAGGTTGCCACAGAGACGCAGTGAGCCAGAGGTGGGTTGAAGAGCTGACCGGCCTTCTGCTGATGGTCCTCCTCTTCCTCAGCCACTTCCTGCAGGTTGAGGGTCCAGAGGGGGCGGGTCTTCTGTAGGTTCCACAACATCACCTGCAAGAGATTGGGGCCAGAAGGGGTCAGGACATGCTTACTTAGTCAAACAGGGTACTCTCAAGCCTCCCTTTCTTTCTCCATCTCCAGTCGTCTCACCTGCATGTCAAGTCCGGCTGAGACCAGGTTGTTGGGCCTGAGAGGGCGGAAAGCCACAGATGAGACGATGTTGGTGTGTCTGCGGAGCGTCCTGTTTACTTTGCCCCCCGGCAGCTCTAGCACCCTCACCGCCCCTGAGTCATCAGCCACGGCCAGAGCCGAGCCCATTTCATTCAGAGCCAGAGAGTTGATCTCCTCCTCTCCCGCACCCTGCAGCTCCTCTACTGCCCCCTTCAGGCTACGAGGGTCCAATACGCTCACCATCTCCCCGTGGGATACATACAACAGGCCTGGAGTTACCGGCGAGAACACAGCGCTGGTCACATCATCCCCGCTGGGCAGACGGAGACTAGCTAACACCGCTCCCTCCTGGTTCCACACTGTCACCTCACCCTCCTCAGAGCCAGAGGCTAGGAGACCCTCCGGACCCCCAGAGGCCCCCACACACAGCACGGGGGTGGAGTGGCCCTCACACCACTGCCTGCTGGCCATGATCACATTGGCACACCTGAGGTAAAGCAGAATAAATACTACATAAGTGAGTCTTAGTCAAGCTGGTATCTTTTGCTAACAGTGACATGATCCTGTACGTAGCTGGCTGTAAAGGAATACAGGTACACCAGTAACTGGTAGCTACAGATTATTACACCAGATAATATAATTGAACCAAAGATTTTTGGAATCCATGACTTGGAGTTTGGGGAGAGTGGGGTACTGTTGAGCCAAAGGGTAAGTTGAGCCACTCCTTGTTTCTAGGTAACCATACACAAAATTCCATTCAGATTTCTATCACCTGAAGCATGCTCAGACCCATGTAAACACGTGCACGAGTTCGGTTTGTATGCATGCATCTCGTGCATGTATTTTTTTTTAAAATCTTGTGCTCATGTTTCAGGTGATAGAAATCTGAATGCACTATTGTTAACGTTACCAGTGCTTTGAAACGTTTATGTAATTCTACTTTCCTGTGGATATATTGTCTCACATTACTACCCTAAAATGGACCAACCAGCACAGATAACCGGAAAAGTACGTTCCAATATAATTTCATTCAACATTTTGGCTTGGTCCTCTGTAGCTCAGCTGGTAGAGCACGGCGCTTGTAACGCCAGGGTAGTGGGTTCGATCCCCGGGACCACCCATACACAAAAATGTATGCACACATGACTGTAAGTCGCTTTGGATAAAAGCGTCTGCTAAATGGCATATTATTATTATTATTATATTATTGTAGAGGTCGTTAGAGTTAACTTTCCTTATTCAAATCCTCATTTCTACCTGACATAGAATTCAACGTCGGGTCTCCAGGCGACCTACTTAACCTTCAACTCCCTGTCATGGATAACACACATCTTTGTTAAATCACATTATCTGGTGTTACAATATGTAGCTACAGTAACTGCTAGCCCTATAAATAGTCATGATATTAATAATAAGCGTTTACATTTGGATGTTGTCTTTTTATTTATTTAACGGGACAGAAGTTCAATCTAGCAAAGGACCATGTGTGTTTACCATAGAACGCTGAAGCTATGCTAGCTAAGTTAGCATGTCAACTCAACTATCAAAACAGTTTATCTTGATGTCAATGTCGAAATATTTGCTAATAACTCATATGAAATCACAGCTGTCATGACATAGCTTAACACAGCACCACTAAATGAAATAAACGTTCAGTACATGTGATGTTTCCACTTTACCTTTCACACGAACGTTAGCTTCCCCTGTTCGGAAAACGACTTGCAAAGTCGCACATCGATGACATCAGAGGGTCGGTAACTGACACTTCCATCAGCATGAAAAAAGCCCTAAAGCCTATTTCTCAATGGAAAAACAATCATTTCTACAACACAGTATTATTATTATTATTATTATTTTTTTAATCTCAAGTACCATCCTCAAACGGATTGATATTAAATGAGGTTAATGCAGTATTGACTGTAAATATTTCTATGCTTGCTGACAAGTTGTGTCAGGTTAGGTTTATACAAATGAAATGTGACATGGTGAACTCCTAAAATCATGCAGGTAGAGTTGACAGAACCTCCCTCTTTTCGTTAAATGTACATAGAAAGTGATATCTTTCAGTGTTTTTCGTTATCAACTAACATGCTTTGTGTCCAGCTCTAATGTAAGAAGACTGTTTGTTGGTGCTGCTGAATTCTGTCATTCTTCTGAGATAACTAAACAGTAATGAACTTCTACAGACTAAATACAAGACTATTCGGCAGAAATAATTCAGTTGGCTACAACAGCAGATTAAGGACACAGGGGAGATGCTAGGGCATTCAAACTCTATAACCTTTTGTGCCAAGGGATGGGCTTGAGAGAGCAACTTGGAGAGAGAGGAGAGAGTGAGAGAAGAGAAGAGGAGAGCCAGAGAGAGAGAGGTAGAAGAGCGAGAGGTAGACAGAGAGAGAGAGAGAGAGAGTAGAGAGAGATGAAGGAGCGAGAGAGAGAAGAAGAGGAGAGTAGAGAGCGAGAGAGAGAGAGAGAGAGGAGAGAGAGAGATGAGAGGAGAGAGAGGGAGAAGTATCGAGAGAGGAGAAGGAGCGAGCATGAAGAATAGAGAGAGAGAGACGAGAGAGAGGAGGATAGAGAGAGAGATCGAGAGCAGAGAGCGAGAGAGCTGATCTCCGACATTATACTAGCTAGACTCCTCTGCTATCTTATCTCTCTCTCTCTCTCTCTCTCTCTCTCTCCTCTCTCTCTCTCTCTCTCGCTCTCTCTCTCTCTCTCTCTCTCAGATTGGTAAGGCTGAAAATTGGGTACACAAGGGTTGCTGTCTGCTGATTTATCCAAAGTTGCAGTTCTGGTGAGTGTGGCCCATTTCTGGGTCGGTGAACTCAAAACAGCATCCTGTCAGACTGAATGGAGAACAGACATGGCACACCAGGGCTATGACACATGCAAACCCACACACAGACTCACGCACTCATGCTCTCACGCTCTCACGCTCTCAACCAAAAGTGCATTCATATGCTGACACATAGATTCTCACAAAGCTCAACTCACACTCCCTGTCAAAAGATTTCACTGTAAATATATTTTCGTCTACTTTTCAGACTACTCTCTCTGTGCATCTATAGTTTAGAAACATTTACAGAATGTTTGTATAAATAAAGATGTTGCTTTTTTTCACATGAGAAATACATGTTAATTTATTTAATTTTAGTTAGTACTGTAATACATGTAAAATGGTTTTGCTGTAAAATGTTGAAGTTGTGAAGAGCTGAGCAGTGTGAAATATCTAACGGTCAGAGCTGTGCTATCTGCAGATGGTAGCTTAAGGCCACTACACATTACTCAAACGCAGCGACGGACTGTAGTTTTCTATGTAGTTCTACATACTTTTTTCCAGCTCAAATTTTGGAACGGACCTTATAGTACACTCCATCACTCTGTTTGCATAAGGTGGTAGGGCCCTTAGGTCACATGATGTGTTTTTGAACTGTTATATTCAAAGTCTTAAGATATGTCCATGTTATCATTCAGCTGAAATACTAAGGTTATATTGAGAATCCAATAGAGAATCAGTACATTTCCACTTTGCTTCAGATGACTACGGTGTGAGAGAGATGGGATGATGTCAAGCAATGAGAATCAATTAAACAAATGGAAGAGGAGGAAACTGCATGTCGTAGTTTTTTCTTTTTTTTGTGTCTTTAAAAAAAATAAAGTTTTTTTGTCATAGTTCAGGAAACAAAGCCTGTGGTCATAGTTCAGGACACAATGGTTCTTAAAGCCTGTGGTCATAGTTCAGGACACAATGGTTCTTAAAGCCTGTGGTCATAGTTCAGGACACAATGGTTCTTAAAGCCTGTGGTCATAGTTCAGGACACAATGGTTCTTAAAGCCTGTGGTCATAGTTCAGGACACAATGGTTCTTAAAGCCTGTGGTCATAGTTCAGGACACAATGGTTCTTAAAGCCTGTGGTCATAGTTCAGGACACAATGGTTCTTAAAGCCTGTGGTCATAGTTTAGGACACAATGGTTCTTAAAGCCTGTGGTCAAAGTTCAGGACACAATGGTTCTTAAAGACTGTGGTCATAGTTCAGGTCACAATGGTTCTTAAAGCTTGTGGTCATAGTTCAGGAAAGAATGCTGACAGTGTTACAGGACGGGAGGCATTCTGCTGCTGAAGCCCATGTCTCTGCTACTGTCATGTGATCACAGCTGTCTCTGCTACTGTCATGTGATCACAGCTGTCTCTGTTACTGTCATGTGATCACAGCTGTCTCTGCTTCTGTCATGTGATCACAGCATGATCTTTAACCCATTAGATATTAATGAAGCGAAAACTGATGGAAATCCCTTGGATTATACATTAAGGGACATTTCCTTTCTCTGCTTCAGTTTGATCCTCCTGATGTGATGGAGGTGATGGAGGTCATTGGTAACTTAAAGGTATCAGCAGCAGGTCATGATGTGATTGGTGCCTCTTTGGTGAAATCAGAGTTTTCCTCGATCATTGAGCCCCTAACGTATCTTCACCAAATCAATGCAAACTGGTATTGTTCGTAAAGATTTGAAAATTTACATTGACATTTTAGTCATTTAGCAGACGCTCTTATCCAGAGCGACTTACAGTTAGTGAGTGCATACATATTTTTATTTTATTTTTCATACTGGCCCCCCGTGGGAATCGAACCCACAACCCTGGCGTTGCAAACGCCATGCTCTACCAACTGAGCTACAAAATTGCCAAGGTTATCCCCCTCTATAAATCTGGGGATCCAAGATCTTTTACTAATTATCAGCCAATATCTGTACTACCATGTTTTTCTAAAATCCTAGAAAAATTGGTGTATAAGAGAATGTTGAAACATTTAAATCAACACTGTATTCTATATGAGCACCAATATGGTTTTCGTAAAACATATTCCACACTACTCAGTAATCTCCTCTTTGAAGACTGGTGGTGATAGATTAATTATTAATGACTAATTATTACACCCTGAAACTGTGTGAAATGTGTTAGAATGTGTGAGTGTAGGACCAGTAAAGATTATGACATTATGTTACTATTTAGTGTGAGTAAGAGTTAGGCCAGACAACAAAGGACAAGGAGAACTGTCTCCAGGCAACTGAGAAACCAAGGTAACTGAGGAATTTAGGGAGGAGAGAAACTGTTAGGCTTGGAAAAGTGTGTGTGTGAACTGATGGTCAGGAGAGCAATTTTAAAGTGGAAAACTTCAGCCTGCCTAAAGAGGGGAGGGATTTTTGTATGACGTATGAATATAAAAGATGGACTCTGAAATTGTGATGGCAGAATTCTCAATGAATAAATATCTCTGACTATGCAGACCGGGACTCTGTCCGTTTCTTGATTTTGGGAGACGCACAGAGACACTGAAATAGTTTGTTAAATAATTCACTTAACAGCTTGGTCCTTCGAGAGCCGGAATCCAATACCTGCCTCTGTCATTCCAGGTAACTCTGAAAACCGTCGACGGGCGAATGATACATTCGTAAATAGAAAGTCCTGCCCTTTGACCCTAAGGGTTAAGACAGGCCAGAGGACACCTGATTAATGACAGAGACGGTGACGGAATCCAAACCTACATTGAATCTCGGCTGCAAGGATAAGGTCAGTAGTCTTTATTCATTACTTGGTGAAATTGATATGAGAACTTGCTAAAATAATGACTGAGGGTAACGTCATAATTTAAAGTAGCAAATTGATCAATTCGTAGCCATTTTATGTGAAATGTTGGTGGGTCCGTAACGATTCACGGTAATAGGCCATTACCAAAAGAAACTACGCGGTGTTGAAATAGAAGTAACTATTAAAAGTACACCTAAGGGATGTAACCTGTAAGAGATTATAGAACAGTCAACAAATAATCTGAGTTAAACAAATTCAAAAAGTACACCAGAAGGAATTAAAATAGCATGTGTGAGAAATAGAAAATTAGTAAAGTCAAAAGTCACAAACAACTGTAGATTTTGCCGTAACTCTATCCGTTTCATGAAACTGGAGCCTTACAAACTCCGGGTTACCGATAGTGTTAACCAATAATCATGTAAGGTTGTATACGTGTGAGACCTAATATTTGCTCAAAAGTCACATCTCTGAATAATTCCAGGTGGTTGTATAGAGAAGAGGGAGAACCCATTCCTGTTGTATGAGACTGTCAGGAATTATCAAGATTACATTGTGGGGATGAATTCCTCCGTAGAGTAGGAGATAATTCTGGGGGACTAGTACCTATACAGGAAGGGGTGATTCCAATTGTTGTGTGAAACTGTTTTGAATAACTTGTTATATAGAAGAGGTGGCTAAGGGATTTTTAACAGTACCAACCATTGGAGGCAAATCCTCACAAGAGGTCCCAGAATTTACTGGGGACGAGAAATACATGGAAATGCGAGACAAACGGAATGTGTATTATGGACATATTTGGAGAAAGAAATATGGCTTTACTGGGCAACTTGATGTAATTAAACTGGAATCCATGATTAAACAAATACATGTAAATTGTGGTACTGATCTAAAGAAACAGAAAAGAGAGGGCTTAGAAACAGCCAGGGTGTGGCTAGTAGAAGCTATAAAGCGGGAAGAAGGCAGGAAGAAAAGAGAAGTGAGTGAGAGTGAAAGAGAAGTGAAGGTTGAGGTCTCCGTGCCTCCCCCAGAGCAGAGGGCAGAAAGGTTATATCCAAACATGGCAGACCAGGCATGGAGAGAAAATCCAGATGATGAGTGCGTAGTGAGGAGAAGGAGAGTGCAGGGGAATAATGTCGCCCCCCC